GTATTTAGACCCCTCTAACAAGAAATTTGTTTTGCATGCACACGTATAAAAATTGCGGTTTTTATCCAACGCAATCATAGGTTTGAACGTTGTTTTCAATTTAGACTTGTTTATATTTTTGTTTGGGCTTGTATTATATTTGCCTTCGGGTTTATATGATCCGTTCATCCTAGTTTGACTCCTCACAATTCAAGAGTCTATCCTAAATTGAGGTAAATTGTATGGCTTTCCAAATACCGTTTCGATTCCTAACATCACTGAAGAGACATTAATTGTCGAAATCCGGATATGGTGTACAAAAACCTTTGCAGTTTGCGGTATATCATCTTTTCCGCAAGTTTATTGTTTTCTGTTTAGTATTAAATTTATAATTTAGATCCATTTATTACATCGGTGATCCGTTTATTTGGCAATCGCCAATGGCAGTCAGCAGGGTTTAAGAACATTTGTTGGTCGACCTGTTAGTCAAATGCGTTTTGTTAAAATATACTTTTTCACTTTTTTGGTCTTTTGGAAATTGTTGTTTGTGCTGTATTTAGACCACTCTAACAAGAAATTTGTTTTGCATGCACACGTATAAAAATTGCGGTTTTTATCCAACGCAATCATAGGTTTGAACGTTGTTTTCAATTTAGACTTGTTTATATTTTTCGTTTGGGCTTGTATTATATTTGCCTTCGGGTTTATATGATACGTTCATCCTATTTTGACTCCTCAAAATTCAAGAGTCTATCCTAAATTGAGGTAAATTGTATGGCTTTCCAAATACCGTTTCGATTCCTAACATCACTGAAGAGACATTAATTGTCGAAATCCGGATATGGTGTACAAAAACCTTTGCACCTTTTGTTTGCGGTATATCATCTTTTCCGCAAGTTTATTGTTTTCTGTTTAGTATTAAATTTATAATTTAGATCCATTTATTACATCGGTGATCCGTTAATTTGGCAATCGCCAATGGCAGTCAGCAGGGTTTAAGAACATTTGTTGTTCGACCTGTTAGTCAAATGCGTTTTGTTAAAATATACTTTTTCACTTTTTTTCTCTTTTGGAAATTGTTGTTTGTGCTGTATTTAGACCCCTCTAACAAGAAATTTGTTTTGCATGCACACGTATAAAAATTGCGGTTTTTATCCAACGCAATCATAGGTTTGAACGTTGTTTTCAATTTAGACTTGTTTATATTTTTCGTTTGGGCTTGTATTATATTTGCCTTCGGGTTTATATGATCCGTTCATCCTATTTTGACTCCTCAAAATTCAAGAGTCTATCCTAAATTGAGGTAAATTGTATGGCTTTCCAAATACCGTTTCGATTCCTAACATCACTGAAGAGACATTAATTGTCGAAATCCGGATATGGTGTACAAAAACCTTTGCACCTTTTGTTTGCGGTATATCATCTTTTCCGCAAGTTTATTGTTTTCTGATTAGGATTAAATTTATAATTTATATCCATTTATTACATCGGTGATCCGTTTATTTGGCAATCGCCAATGGCAGTCAGCAGGGTTTAAGAACATTTGTTGTTCGACCTGTTAGTCAAATGCGTTTTGTTAAAATATACTTTTTCACTTTTTTGGTCTTTTGGAAATTGTTGTTTGTGCTGTATTTAGACCCCTCTAACAAGAAATTTGTTTTGCATGCACACGTATAAAAATTGCGGTTTTTATCCAACGCAATCATAGGTTTGAACGTTGTTTTCAATTTAGACTTGTATATAATATATATATATATACTAGTATATACCAGAATTACAAAACTGACAGATCAAAAGTAAAATAACAATATAAATACTGAACTCCAAGGATAATTAAAAATGGAAAGCCCCCTTATCAAACGGCAATTTCAAAAGCTCAAACACATCAAACGAATGGAAAACAACTGTCATACTCCTGACTTGGTATAGGCATTTCCTTATAATGAAAATGGTGGATTAAACCTGGTTGTATAGCTCGCTAAACCTCTCACTTGTATGACAGTCAAATATAATTCAAACATTCCCCCTTATATTGATTCATGATGCATTTAATGTTAATTTTTTAAACAGGTCTCGTGGAGCTTTTGAAAGAGCCAGCAATATAACGATGTTTGTAACAATAGTGGTAGACATACAATAAAATGTAGGAAGATATTTTTCAACATAAGAAATGGTCACATTGCTATGAATTTCACTATTTCAATAAGTTCGTTGGAGAATATGTAATATTTCCAAGAGAAGTATTAATACATTATGCCCTTATTAAGAAGCTTATTTATAATGTGAGTTACAAGCAAAACCGACAATGCATGGGGCTTTTGTTTGCAGGGAAAACAAGGATGTAAATCTGGTATTTTTTCAACATTTTTGAATTTTTGGTAGGTATTTGAATATACGAGTAGCTTGAGCGTTAATAGACCAATTCAGTTTTTTTAATTCAGATTTTTAACATTAACCTTACAGTGTTAACCCAGAAACAGTATCTATGTTTCTTATTTTCGGTTTTCCCTCCATCTTCTAGCATAATCATAGTCTAAATCAATTAGTATTTCATAGTTGCATCGCCAGTTTATTGATGTAGGCTGAATAACGACATACAGGTTATATGTCAATGAGTCATCACTGTTTGGTACCGTACTGACATATTCACCTTATCTCAACTTTATATTATTTTGTCTAAAGTTACCAAATAATTCCTAGACTTATTAGTTGTGGATGTTTTGCATTCCTTATTATTTTCATGAAACTTTAACAACCTGTCGTGTATATTATCAGCTCTGTACTCTTAAAATTCATATAACATGTATAATCAATTACTATCTTAATTCAAGATTTTTAAACAACAATATGTCTCATTCCTAAATGTTTTTGATACTACTATATCCTGCAACAGTTTGGACAACCATTTTAATATCAATTTTGAAGGCCTCGGGGAAGATAAATGTTTTTGTTAAATGAGTCATCGTCATTAAATAAAGAAGTGTCATTATGTTAATTGAGGCACATTTTTTACTCATAGTCCGAGATTTATCTTCTGCATTTTGTTATACACTTGTTTATTCCAGATATTGTAGTTTTGATGGCGAGACTTTAGATGACCTATGAAAGTTTTGTTAAATATGTAATCAAGAAGTTGCTAAGAGCCTGAATTGCTCACCCATCTGATTGAAATCTATTACAACTGGCTTGCTCGTATATACAAGGATAATGAAATCAGAGATCTATATTTTAATTAGATTGAATCGCTCACCTGTCAAAATTATATCTTATATTGCTGAAAGTTTTTTGCTGTTTTATTACATTTTTTACCAACATCGTAATTTAGGGGCAATAACTCCTACAAGGAGTCATCCAATGGCTTCAGACATTTGACATTTTTGTTGATCGTGTATTGCTTATCCAATATACTACTTACAATTTCTACCAATCTATTGTAGTTTTCAAGGTAATAGACAAAAACTCTAAAATAAGTAAAACAATTTAATTTAAGGGCATTAACTCTTACAAGTTCTCCAATGATTTTGTCACATTGAATTTTTTGTAGGGCTTGAATTGCTGTTAAATTTTGTTACTGAACAGTTTCTACCTTTCTAGTATAGTTTTCAAGATAAAAGACAATAAAATGCTTCGCTGGGCGCAGCTTGATACGACCGCAGAGGTCGAACCCTGAACAGTTGGGGCAAGTATGGACACAACATTCAAGCTTGATACAGCTCTGAATTTGGATTATGATTAAATATTTGACACAGCATAGGTTTCTGACACAGAAAGAATGTGGTCTAAGAACTTGAATTTTTTTAATTTACCTATTATGGTCCAATGTCCAAAATCAAAATACATGGTTAGATTCAGCATATCAAAGAACCCCATATATTCAATTTTTGTTGAAATCAAACAAAGTTTAATTTTGGACCCCAACTTGGACAAACTTGAAAACTGGGCCCATAATCAAAAATCTAAACACAGGTTTAGATTCAGCATATCAAAGAACCCCAAGAATTCAATTTTTGTTAAAATCAAACTAAGTTTAATTTTGGACCCTTTGGACCTTAATGTAGACCAATTTGAAAACTGGACCCAAAATTAAAAATCTAAATACACGGTTAGATTCAGCATAACAAATACATAAATGTGGTCAAAGATTTTACAAATCTAATGCGCCATACTGTGCAATTAAAGATTACTTCTTGAAATTTATTCAATATTTGAAATTTGAAAAAAAAATATTTGAAGAATAATTCTGTTAATTTCTGAAATCTGAAATGAGAAAAAATTGACCCCCCACAATTTCTTTTTACCCCCCCCCCCCCCCCCCTTTTTTCCCCAAAAAAATTCTTTCCCTCAAGATGTGGTCATAATCTCAATTCAAATTTCCCATGGAGTTTGCAACCATAATTACCCATTTAAATTTACCATAGTGCTAACTTAATCTATTTTATAATAGAATTTAAAATATAGTGTCAAATCTTTCATATGGATTTTTTTGTAAAAAAAAAAGATGCAAAATATGCAGATATTTTTACTTGTCTTCCTTTATAAATATGCATTTCTTTAAACATAATTTAAAAGCAGTGTAAGGGAAGTAACCAAAACGTTGTATTTGGATTACCTCCCTTACACTGTTTTAAATTATCTTAATTGTTCATTAACCATTACTTAATACATAATTTAAAAGCAGTGTAAGGGAGGTAATTTCAATGATGTATTTGATTTATCTCCCTTACACTGCTTTAAATTATGTTTTGTACTAAAGTATTTGTCCATTAACCAGGACAACCTTGTTTTTCCCCTTTTTTGCCCTTAATTACAAAATTTATGGTTTGAGCCATAACCCCCCAAAGCAAATCCTAACCATCCCTTTGTGGTATGGAAACTTGTAGTATAATTTTAGAGAGATCCATACACCGTTCCACAGTTATTGTCTGGAAACTAGAAAATGCTTATTTTTGGCCCCTTTTTGCTTAACTGTTGGTACCATAACCCCCAAAATCAATCCCAACCTTCCTTTTGTGGTATTTAACCTTATGGTAAAATTTCAAAGAGATCCATTCACCTAAACTAAAGTTAGAGTGCGAAAACCAATGTGTCTTCGGATGACGACAACGACGCCAACATCATACCAATATACGACCGCAAAATTTTTTTGAGGTCGTATAAAAACTTGAAAATAAGTAAAAAAAAGTCATTTAAGGGCAATCGCTCCTTAAAGAGTCATTTGATAATATTGATGGTAAGGAAAATTGTAGACCTTTACAATTCGAGCATTATTGCTGATCAGATTATCTCTATCTATTATGGTTTTCAAGATATAAGTCAATAACAGCACTTTAGACATGGTGGCCATGATGGTTGATTGGCAGGAACAAACTTTATACAAAGGACCATTCAAGGATCACTTTTAAGTTTGGTTGAAATTGGTCCAGAGGTTTCTTCTGAGAAGATATTTTTTGAGTCTACAACATGGACAACACTGCACTCTTAATAGGTGAGCTGAAATGGAGGAAATTGATCCTTGTGATTGAAGGAAATTACTGGAATGTCATTAAAAGCTACAACATCTTTGTGTTTTAAAGCATTTCAGTACACCTTATACATGTAGTTAGATATCTATAGTTGTCCAACTTTCTTGTAGCTTTTAACAGACCCTGAATAACTTTCTGAAAGTCTTGTACTGTTTTAAACTATTGTTATAAAAATTGCTTCGCCGAGCGCAGCTGGATACGACCGCAGAGGTCCAACCCTGAACAGTTGGGGCAAAAATGGACACAATATTCGCACTTGATACAGGTCTGAATTTGGATTTTCATTAAATATTTGACACATAATAGGTTTCTGACACAGAATAACTGTAGTCAAAGAACTTAGAATTGGTTATATGATTTGAATTTATATTCAATTATTTGCTTTTGTGCAATACACTTTGCTGTTGTGAATTGACCCCCCCCCCCCCCTCCCCCCACAAAAAAAAAATTAAAAATTTACCCCCCCTTTTTTTTGGCTTTTGTGCAATACACTATGCTGTTGCGTATTACCTCCCTTTAACTGCTTTTAAATTGTCTTAGTAATTGTCCATTAACCAGGAAACCCTTGTTTTTCCCCCCTAATTCCTAAACAGTTTGAGCCATAACCCCCCAAAGCAAATCCTAACCATCCCTTTGTGGTATGGAAACTTGTGGTATAATTTCAGAGAGATCCATACACTGTTCCACAAGTTATTGTCTGGAAACTAGAAAAATGCTTATTTGGGCCCCTTTTTGGCCCCTAATTCCTAAACTGTTAGGACCATAACCCCCAAAATCAATCCCAACCTTCCTTTTGTGGTTATAAACATTGTTTTAAATTTCATAGATTTCTATTTAATTATACTATTAAAGTTATTGTCTGGAAACCAACTGTCTTCGGACGACGCTGACGACGACGACGTGATACTAATATACGACCGCAAAATTTTTTGCGGTCGTATAAAAATGGTCGGCTGCATAACTATACATAGTGTGAAGCCATCATATCATGATTGGTACCATTCCCATGTAAAACTGTAGGAACTTAGCTTTGAAAATCTTCTTCATATGCAGTAAGGTAAAAGTGAATTTTTTGCTATGGAAAACCTAAAGATCAGTGGATAAAAAAATGAGGAATCGAGTGCACACTGCACATGGTGTGAAATATTTGGTTCAAAATGAAAATTGAAGGAGATTTTACATTAACAAACCTTTATGACAGATGAGCAAAAAGACAGGTCATCAAACATATGAGGATCATAAAATATCTGATATAAATAATTTGAAAGTGTTATATCATTAAAGGATTATATAAAAAAAATATCTAAAAACAACCAAATGTAATAAATATTTTTATTAATATAAAATCAACAGTCACCATAAAATCCTTACACACAGCTACTCCCACAGCAATCATGCTTACATACACCTCTCAACCACCCACTTTTATCAAAATTCTTATGAACACACATATGTAACAAAATACATCACAACTATCTTATTCTTCGTAATAAAATAATTAATCCTATTGACAATGCAAAAAAAGTTATCAAATACATATCCCAGTCAGGACCAAATAAATATCTTGGATCTAGTTTTTGGAAAAAATTATTCATTTCTTCTATCTGAAATAGAAAAAAATACAATATATTAACATATATGAAAAATGAGTTCTTTGGAATATTCTTATGTATGTATCTGAACACATCATTCATTTGTATCAAAAGTCATGTTTGCTCTGTTATTTCTACTGTATATCATTAGACAACCTAGCCATTTTCTACTGTGGAGAATATATTCATACCACATGCACTGAAATTTGACATACACCAAAATCAAGCTGAGGTATCTGTTATTTAAGTTAGAATAAATGGGGAATGTGTCCATGGGACACAGATGATGCCCCCTCTTGCATATAAAGTTATAAAAGGACACAACTCAAGAACTGTAAAATTGACGCTACCCAAATTTGTACTTGATCTGAGTTTTGTGGTAATAAGCATTGTGTATACGTTTCATAACATTTAGTTGAGGCACTCTTAAGTTAGAGAACAGAAACAAAAAATTCAGCAATATTTTCCATTTGTAAAGGGGCATAACTCTAGAACAGTAAAAGTGACGCCACCAAAATTTGAACTTGATCTGTGTTTTCTGGTAATTAGCATTGTGCATAATTTCATAATATTTAGTTGAGGCAAACTAAAGTTAGAGAATAGAAACAAATATTTCAGCAATTTTATGCGACCGCAAAAATTTTTTTGGGATCGTATAATGGTATGATGTCGTCGTCAGAAATTTTTTAAGAAGGTTCAATACCACAAAAGGAAGGTTGGGATTGATTTTGGGGATGATGGTCCCAACCGTTTAGGAATTAGGGGCCCAAAAGGGGCCCAAAACAAGCATTTTTCTAGTTTCAGGATAACTTGGGTATAAGTATTTCGATTGCTCTGAAATTGTACCACAATGTTTAATACCACAAGTAGAAGGTTGGGATTCATTTTAGGGGTTATGGGGCCAACAGTTTAGGAATTAAGGGCCAAAAAGGGGCCAAAAACAAGCATTTTTCTAGTTTCTAGACAATAACTTGTGTGTAAGTGTATTGATCTCTCTGACATTGTACCACAAGGTTCCATATAACAATGGGAATGCTGTGATTGAGTTTGGGGTTAATTGCCCCAAACATGTAGGAATTAGGGGCTAAAAAAGGGCCAAAAACAAGCATTTTTTTAGTTTCCAGACAATAACTTGTGTTTAAGTGTATGGATCTCTCTGAAATTGTACTACAATGTTCCATACTACAAAGGAAAGGCTGGGATTGAGTTTTGGGGTTATTGCTCCAAGGGGGGTTTCAAAAAGTTGGAGGAGGGGGGGGATTTTTTTTTCCAATTTTTTTTTCAAAATTTTTCAAATTTCGAAATTTTTGAAAAGTTTCAAGAAGAAATCTTCAATTGCACAGTATTGCGCAATAGATTTGTAAGATCTTTGACCACATTTATTTTGTGTCAGAAACCTATATTATGTCAAAAATTTGATCACAATCCAAATTCAGACAGTATCAAGCTTGAATATTGTGTCCAAATTTGCCCAAACTGTTCAGGGTTCGACCTCTGCAGTTGTATCAGGCTGCGCTCAGAGAAGCATTTTATTCCATTTGTAAAGGGGCATAACTCTAGAACGGTAAAAGTGACGCCACCAAAATTAAAACTGGATCAGTGTTTTGTGGTAATGAGCATTGTGTATAAGTTTCATAACATTTGGTTGAGGCAAACTAAAGTTAGAGAACGGAAACCAATTTTGGGACGTACGTACGTACATTCAGACGTAAAAGGGTAAAACTTAATGCCCCCTCCGCTACGGCGGGGGCATAATAAAAACAGTGCATTACATTAACCAGCTTTTTCAGATTTATGCACTTGATATTTTAGTAAGATATGAAATAATATAAGGAGATCTTATATTGGTTTTTTTTTCAATTAGAACAAGAATGATAGACATATCATATCGCTTCCTATAATATTTGTTTTTTGTGAATTGTTTTTACATAAAATCAGGTGATTAGTTTTTTTTTGTATGAATTGTTTTACATTTTGTAATGTCAGACCCTTTTATTGCTTACTATACAGTATGATTTTTGCACATTGTTAAAGGCCGAAAGGTGATCTATAGTTGCTTATATCTATGTCATTTGGTCTCCAGTGGATGATAAATGGTCTCATTGGCTATCATACCACATCTACTTATGTCTATATAGAGTACAAAATGTCGCATTAATATGTGAGAAAGTTGGTTATCAAATATAAAAAATTTAGCATATGTTATTTAATACATCTCAGGAGTTTGCTAATTGTAAGGGCTAACTTAAACCCATTGACTTACTTCTTTATTAAATACATCAGCACCATAAAATACTCCTAATTTAAATAAAGCTAACATAACTGGAACTTTAGCATCTATACTAGTTTCTGCAGCCATGTCATAAAATCTTTTGGCTAGATGCAGATCCTAAAATGAAAACAGCTTTATACAATCATGGCTTCCAAAAGTAATAATATATGTTACAAACATTTTTTTTAATTTCCTATTTGTTACACATAAATAAAATAATATAGTCTTCAATGTAATATTATTGTATGAAAACTATCTCATGACAAGACTATATGGCTAATGGACACCCAGGCCAAGCAAGTTGTTGGTTTCAGGGAAAAAAACAACTTAAATATTCATTTTGGCTATGCTTTTGCATAGCTAATATATTGTTGTATTGTTAATGACATGTCATTTTGAAATCACAGGATCTCACATCAAAACTGTCTTAAGCATTTATCTCAGCCATCATCTTGCAACGTTTTAATAAACAAAGAAATTAGACTTAAACCACCCTTTTGACTTTTACTCATAGTAGTTTAGTTTTGATGTATTTTTTATTTAGTTTAAAGTTCATATAACATCAACATCACATCTCAGCATCTCAAAACACATTAGAATTAATAATTCACAGTACAAAGGATAAGTACATGTCATTGTGTACAAAGAATCCATAAATTGAAAAAATAAGTCATGCCATTGCTAAAGCAAGCAATATATATATAAACCCCATTAGTTAACAAACCTGTTCATAACATCACATAAGAACCATATAAAACGTACAATTTCTATATTTTAGCTGCATCAACCATATTTATTTTCTATTTCACTTTTTTCCCAAAAATGTTTTTTCTCAAGGCATACAAGTCGGCTATGTACAATAAATATTTACATAAAAAAGTATTAGTCATTATGCGCGATATAGTTAATAATCTGTATTAAATTTAGAATATGATTAAATTAAAAAATACAAATTCCTGGCCTTTATTCAGGGCTTGAAAATGTTGAAAATGATTTTTAAAATGATACTGGCTATATATCATAAAGATAAACTGAGCAAAACAGTGTGAATAGTAAAGTACATTTGCCTACCTGTTTAAGACCAAGACCCTGTTCATGCATATATCCCAGATTAAACATGGCCTGAGCATTATGTTGCTGTTCCGATGCTAGTCTGTACTGACTAGCTGCTGATTCATAGTCTACTTTAGTACCATATCCATAGTAATGATAATCTCCCATCTTGAGCCTAGCTATAGTAGATCCTTGGGAAGCAGCTCTACCCCAGTGAAGTAAAGCTCGCTGATAAATTTCATCTTCCACAAATAATCCAACTTCACCTGTAATGAAATTTTACCTCAAAATGTTACTATAAAGTTTGAAAAAAATGTAATTGGTAATTATACAAGAAGAATGTTTATTACTTCTGTGTGAAATAATTTTATTTGTGGTGTGTTCAAAATAGACATACAGGATTTTCTTGATCATACATAGGATCAGAAGACAACATGTACCTATACATGTGTCCTGTTTTATTAGACCAGACTTATAATTAATACTAAGACAATACCATAACCAAATTAACTGTCAGGTAAATTTACAAAGAATTTATAAGTTAACATAAAAATAAATTGCAAATTGTAACATAGCAATACATTACCATTATCCAAAATATATGCCACATTTGATTGAGCCACTTCATATCCTAAATCTGCAAGGAATGTGTATTTCATTAAAGCCTGATGAACATTTCCTTCTTTATACAGTGTGTGAGCTTCTTGTAACATAGCAGCCCAGCGTCCCCTTTCTGCCACATTTTTGAAAAACTGAAATAAAATTAAAATTAAAATTAATTTAAAATGCAAAATACAGATTCAGATGTATACATTATGAGCCTTTAAGTTCAAGAAGTGTAGTATGTGTGTCATTTGATATCTTCTAAAGGGTGGTTACCATAGAACAGATTTTAGTGTCGTGGCCATGATATCCTAAGCAAGTTGGTCAAAACATTTACATAAAACTTTATTACACAAAGTTTAAAAAGGTAAGGAAAAAAGAGTCTCAACGGAATCTGATATTCAATTGAAAAGTGCTTTGCAAAAGTTATGCCACATTCTTTTAATCTTTGGTTTTTGGTGGTTAAGGCTGTGTAATTAAGGGTAAAGCAAAAGATTATAGTATTATTACACCATACCTCTACAGCTGTATGACAATTCCTTAGTACCCCTGTCCCTGTAGCATGCATCTGTGCTAGGTTAAAATAAGCTAACACATGTCCTCCTTGAGCAGCCAAGTTAAAGTATTTAACAGCCATTTTATAATCCCTTCTTACTCCTTTACCACCTACAACAAAATTAACATGCATGCAATATATTGTATATATACCTTGAAAAGCAAGAACGCTGCAATTAAATGTGCTTCTATTTTTTTTATCTTCCTTTACAAATGGGGTTTATTAGTATATCCTTTCGATAATAATCACAAAGCCTTTGTATAAAAAATTTGTGCACTGTTTTCTTTTCATCTTTCACACTGAAAAGACAGATCAATGACAATTGGCACATCCACAAACATCATGGAGTTCAGTGACAATTGGCACATCCACAAACATCATGGTGGTTTTATTTCATTTTTTTGGATTTATTGAAGGTCAATCAGTTAACATGACTCTTTAACAAATTTAATTGCCATAAAAATTCCTAAAACATTTCAAATTTTTCATAAAGCTAACAATTAACAAGACATCAGTGACATAGTTGACATAAGAAAAAATATGTTTTAATATTCAGATTTAATTTCACTGAATTTATCACTTGTATCCAGACACATAAGTCAATATTTCTTTAAAGCTATTCCAAGAAGAAATATTTACAGGTGGAATATAACAAAATATCTTTTTAAAAAATAAACCAGCTCGATTCCTTTACAACTAATCATTATTTTAATATATATGAATAGAAAAATCATTATACATGTAACAACAATAATGACATTGAACAATTTCAAACATGCAATATTATAAATATTCTATCTATAGGTAGTATACATTGTGTGATGACTTACTGAAGTACATAATACCAAGCTGTAACTGTCCATCTACCCATCCTTGATCTGCTGCTAATTGGAAGTATTTATAAGCCTTATTAAAATCCTGAAAATTTCAAAACTACAAGTAAAAAATATGGAAATACAAATTTTATTTAGTCATTTACTTAAATTTTTTAACTTATGAAGATTTTCATACTGATTTATTGCAAACCCAATGATACTTTTCCACAGATTCACCTGCAAGTTACCTGTCGATTTAAACTTTTGTTATTTCTTTTGTCCCATCTAATAAATACAATAGCTATTGTTCTCTGTGTAGTTTATTTGATGGGACCTTTAAATTTCTTCCAAGAGAAATCTACCACTCACTGATTAATTTACCTAAACAAAAAATTAAACTGTCAAAAATGAAAATACATGTACAAATACTAAAAAAAACTGCATGTGGTGTTGTATTTATTCAATATCAATAATTCATTTTTAATAGTTTCAATATAAACACTGATTCAAAAATTAAAAGTTGATTTCTGAACAAATTTTTTATATTTTCCTTATTAAAATTTGCTTTTTTTTGTGTGTTTGTCAAATAAAAATTTGAAAATTACTGTGTTTAAATTAAGGTCTTGAAAAGTGTATTCTATAACTTAACAACAACAAAAACATGCAAATTCATTGGAACAATACTAAAAAATTTGTCAGAAATAAACTTTTTATAATTAAATCAGTGTTTATATTGAAAAGATTGAAAATATTATTGATATTGATTAAATACAATATTGCATGCAGTTTCTGCAAGTTTATACAACTATTTCCCCCAAAAAAGAAGATAATTTTTTGGTCAGGTAAATTAATCAATGAGTGATAGATTTCTCCTAGAAGAAATTTAAAGGTCCCAGTGAAAAAACTACACAGAGAACAATAGCTATTGTATTTATTCAATAGGACAAGAGAATAGACAAAAGTTTAAATACCCTGGTCAAGAGCAGACGACTCTGTGGAAGACTTTCATTTGGTTCGCAATAAAAAGGATATGAAAAAAGGACTGACGTTTCATAAAAACAAAAATTCATTATGAATCGCTTGTTTGCTTAGGACTGTTCAAAATTGACCGTGGTCCGGGATGGGAGGCACTGAAATCCATTATGGTTGCATTTTCCTTAGAATGTTGTAAGAACAAAAATATTATTAATATTACTGATGGTTGTGGACTTAAATTGTTTTAAATATACTCAAAACTACTATAATATATTATTTCCAGATTAAAAATCAACCTTGGTTTGCAGAGTTATATTGAAAGTGAAAAGATGTTAGTTGTCCTGAAATACAACCTAATCAAATATTATACAAAAAGATTACAGTGACCTCCAAGTTTTCATTGTAATAAAGCCAAACTTTTCCAAGAATGAGATAAAAGTTGCTTAAAATCATGATTTTAGAGTTGAATGACTTTGCATAATTCAAGAAATCACTTAGTCTTTAATAAGTAATGTCTGTTTGCATGTATAGTTTTGAAATTATCTTTTAAGTATTAGTTCTTCATTTTTTGTCACATTAATGTAGAAATTAATTTTGTCATGATAGAAATTCAAACAAGTGTATTGTTTTCTTAACTGAGATATTTCACTCAATATGTAATCCCTTTATACACAATTTACCTTTGCCACACCTTTTCCATACATGTACATCATTCCAAGACCAGTCTGACCTACTGCATTTCCCTGTAAGATGAACACAAATTCCCATTAGATAATGCTTGCATCAATAACACTCCAGACATAGTTTACAATTTTGCAATTTTAAAATGTAACAACAAATAAGTCTGCTCAACTTCTGAACAAGTGTCATTGTAGGGCGACATGTCTTCCTGCTCATGATACCCTGAGAGGTAGCAGATTTTGAAATCTGAATTAAAATATCAGTCAAGTAAGAAGCAAAGTAACATGAGAGAATTGGCACAAATAAACAGTCATTTATTGTTGTTGAACATTTAGCTTCCACAAATCAATCAGTATATGATTACATCATTGTTATCCCTTGTGTGTAGAATGTTTCATGGACATTTAGAGTATTTTTGTAAATTTTTTAAAATCTATATACAAATAATCATTTTCTGCAGGTAAAGCATATATTTATATCCTTGACAATTGATAAGCTATATTGCGGGAACCCTGGTTTACAAAAAAGTTGCTGTTTTAAGGTTGCCTCATTTCATAGTTTAACCATTTGCTACAATCAAAATCACAACAATTAGAAAATCAACAAAAGTAGATTGTTGCAGGATAATTACGAAATTAAAGTACACACGACCTTGTATAATTACCTTATCTGCTGCATTTTTGAAGTACATCATGGCTGTCTGGTTATTCTGTTCCACTGCTGCACTACCTTCTGTGTACATCTAAAGGTAAAAACATATTAAAATCAGAACAAATGTTCTTTGTTTTCCAAAATTAGTCCCTTTTTAATTGTCCTTACTACATTATACTCATTTGACCATAATTTTTCCTATATTTTCTTTTTAATTCAACAAGTATTAAATAGAGTTTTCAAGATAAAACAGCAATTTAATTTGAAATGTTCTTTAAATACTGAACAATAAATAATTAAGTCATGTTCAGACCTTCAGTCATTTCCACTATGGTAAAAATGCATATTATAAGACATTTTCCAATAGGTCAGTTAAGTTTTGTTCAGTCTATTTTATTAATTAGTAGGTGATTTTTACCCGACCTTAACAATAGATATTGAAATTGCCTGAAAGGAACTTAACAGGTCTGAATCTTCAGATGGATTTACTAAGAAAATCTGAAAGTGTAATATCTTAAAAAAAACTTGGCTTTTAAGTTTACTTAGCAAATTAAGATCATGTTAAGATAACCTTTTTATAATCTTAAGTACCTAGCAATAGAAACAAAACATACCTCCTTATTTTTAAATTACTATAAAATCCAGATCGGTCATCTTTATTTTCATGTTTGTTTTAACATTTTCCATTAGATATTATTTTTCACAAATATTGAAATGTAAATTAATTACAACATAAGAAACCACCTATTCTATTTTTACAAACCTTCCCCAGATAAGCCAGTGCATTGGCATTCCCTGACTCTGCTGCCATCATAAAATAATGTAGAGCTCTCTGAAAATATACAGGAATAAAACTTTTTAATACATACATACTGTATATTGCAAACCTTAACTTTTTGATATATCTTCTGTATATTGCAAACTTCATTTTTTTTATATATAAATATGTACTTCTGTATATTGTAAACCTGAAATTCTTTTGCATATGTACTTCTTCAAATTGTAAACCTGATATTTTTTTATATATTATGTACTTCTGTATATTGTAAGCCTGATCTTTTTTTATATATGTTCTTCTGTATATTGTAAACCTAATCTTTTTTTATATATGTACTTCTGTAAATTGTAAACCTGATCTTTTTTATATATGCATTTCTGTATATTGTAAACCTGATCTTTTTTTATATATGTACTTCTGTATATTGTAAACTCATCTTTTTTTTATATATGTACTTCTGTAAATTGTAAACCTGATCTTTTTTATATATGTATATTGTAAACCTGATCTTTTTTTTATATATAAACTTCTGTATATTGTAAACCTGATCTTTTTTATATATGTACTTCTGTATATTGTAAACCTGATGTTTTTTATATATGTACTTCTGTATATTCTAAACCTGATCTTTTTTTATATATGTACTTCTGTAAATTGTAAACCTGATCTTTTTTATATATGTACTTCTGTATATTGTAAACCTGATCTTTTTTTATATATGTACTTCTGTATATTGTAAACCTGATCTTTTTTATATATGTACTTCTGTATATTGTTAACCTGATCTTTTTATATATATGTACTTCTGTATATTGTAAACCTGATCTTTTTTATATATGTACTTCTGTATATTGTTAACCTGATCTTTTTATATATATGTACTTCTGTATATTGTAAACCTGATCTTTTTTATATATGTACTTCTGTATATTGTATATTGTAAACCTGATCTTTTTTATATATGTACTTCTGTAAATTGTAAACCTGATCTTTTTTTATATATGTACTTCTGTATATTGTAAACCTGATCTTTTTTTTATATATGTACTTCTGTAAATTGAAACCTGAAACTTTTTTTATATTTTTACTTCTGTGAATTGTAAACTTGAAAATTCTGAAATATGTATTTCTGTGTTTTATAAACCTGATTTTTTATTAATATGTACTTCTGTATATTGTCAACCTGATCTTTTTTTTTATATATGTCCTATTCTATATGGCAAATATGAACGTTTTGAAATATGTACTTCTGTGTATTGTAAACCTAAACCTTTTTATATATGTACTTCTGTATATTGTTAACCTTGATTTTTTTTTCTAGTTCTTCTGTAAATTAAGGAATAAGTCATTTACTCATATTCCAAATGTAAACTAATATGACTTGTTTTTACAGTTATTTTATTTGTTGTAGATGTAATTGTTAACTATCCAATAAAATATTGAATTGAATTGTATATTGTAAATATGAACTTTTGTATAATGTAATCCTGAACTTGCTGCTTTGCATTATTTCTGAAATTTCCCTTTTTCCACGAAAATAGCATATGGGTCTATCCAACAAGTTTTGAGTTTACTTTTGAAATTTAATGTGAAAATAACAAAGTTTTAAGGCTTCAATGTTAATGTGTTTTTACTTTACTATCATTTCTAAAGATAGTTGATCATTACCTTATGTTTCAACTAGAGGCTCTCAAGAGCCTGTGTCGCTCACCTGTATTTACTGATGCTTTGGAAATCATGTAAAATAAGGTTAAAATCATAATTAATAGTATTAGATATGATATCTAAGATAATAACAAAAAACTGCAAAATTTTTGTAAAATTACTAACTCAGGGGCAGCAACCCAACAACGGGTTGTCGGATTTGCTGAAAATTTCAGGGCAGATAAATCTAAATCTGATGAACATTTTTGCCACCTGTCAGATTTGCTCTAAATGCTTTAGTTTCAGAGATATAAACCAAAAACTGCATTTTACCCCTATGTTCTATTTTTAACCAAGTCGGCCATGATGGTTGGAAGGCGGGGTCATCGGACAAATTTTTTAAACTAGATACCCTAATAATGATTATAGCCAAGTATGGTTAAATTTGTCTCAGTAGTTTCAGAGACGAAGATTTTTGTAAAAGATTACAAAAATTTACAAAAAAATTTTCAAAATTGACTATTAAGAGCAATAACTCCTAAAGGGGTCGACTGACAATTTTGGTCATGACAACTTATTTGTAGATCTTACTTTGCTGAACATTATTGCTGTTTACAGTTTATCTCTATCTATAATAATATTCAAGATAATAACCAAAAACTGCAAAATTTCCTTAAAATTACCAATTCAGGGGCAGCAACCCAACAACAGGTTGTCAGATTTGTCTGAAAATTTCAGGGCAGATAGATCTTCACCTGATAATCAGTTTTACCCTATGTCAGATTTACTCTAAATGCTTTGGTTTCAGAGATATAAGCCAAAATCTACATTTTACCCCTATGTTCTATTTTTAGCCATGGCGGCCATCTTGGTTGGTTGACGGGGTCATCGGACACATTTTCTAAACTAGATACCATAATGATGATTGTGGCCAAGTTTGGTAAAATTTGGCCCAGTGGTTTCAGAGGAGAAGATTTGTGTAAAAGATTACAGAAATTTACAAAAAATTGTTATAAATTGACTATTAAGGGCAATAACTCCTAAAGGGGTCGACTGACAATTTTGGTCTTGACAACTTATTAGTAGATCTTACTTTGCTGAACATTATTGCTGTTTACAGTTTATCTCTATCTATAATAATATTCAAGATAATAACCAAAAACTGCAAAATTTCCTTAAAATTACCAATTCAGGGGCAGCAACCCAACAACAGGTTATCAAATTTGTCTGAAAATTTCAGGGCAGATAGATCTTGACCTGATAATCAGTTTTACCCTATGTCAGATTTTCTCTAAATGCTTTAGTTTCAGAGATATAAACCAAAAACTGCATTTTACCCCTATGTTCTATTTTTAACCAAGTCGGCCATGATGGTTGGAAGGCGGGGTCATCGGACAAATTTTTTAAACTAGATACCCTAATAATGATTATAGCCAAGTATGGTTAAATTTGTCTCAGTAGTTTCAGAGACGAAGATTTTTGTAAAAGATTACAAAAATTTACAAAAAAATTTTCAAAATTGACTATTAAGAGCAATAACTCCTAAAGGGGTCGACTGACAATTTTGGTCATGACAACTTATTTGTAGATCTTACTTTGCTGAACATTATTGCTGTTTACAGTTTATCTCTATCTATAATAATATTCAAGATAATAACCAAAAACTGCAAAATTTCCTTAAAATTACCAATTCAGGGGCAGCAACCCAACAACAGGTTGTCAAATTTGTCTGAAAATTTCAGGGCAGATAGATCTTGACCTGATAATCAGTTTTACCCTATGTCAGATTTTCTCTAAATGCTTTGGTTTCAGAGATATAAGCCAAAATCTACATTTTACCCCTATGTTCTATTTTTAGCCATGGCGGCCATCTTGGTTGGTTGACGGGGTCATCGGACACACTTTTTAAACTAAATACCCTAATGATGATTGTGGCCAAGTTTGGTTAAATTTGGCCCAGTGGTTTCAGAGGAGAAGATTTTTGTAAAAAGCTAACGACGCCGGATGACGACGACGACGGACGCCAAGTGATGAGAAAGCTCACTTGGCCCTTTGGGCCAGGTGAGCTAAAAATGATAGTTTTTTTGTTTTATTTTTCAAATTGGTATAAAAATCATTATTAAACATCACTTGAAGTTTCCATTTGAAGAAGCCTTGGCACTGTTACAAAGAATTAGTATTAAAGCACCAGATGAAGCCATTTCTATTTCTCAAAAAGTCATAGTCTTTACCAAATAGTACAAGGTATACAGCTAACAGAAGTCAATGTATGTATTCTCAAATAAAGCTAACCATCTCTATGTTTGTTGTCTGTTTGCAGGCACTGGCCTATATGAATGTGAGTTTTTTCTTATGTAGATTTGGTGCTGGTTTGTTTATCTGTTAATTGTTCCACTTCATAGCATGGACTTGGAAGGTCAGTGACTTTCATTGCTATTTTCTTTTCTTAATAAGAAAATAAAGTTAATTACCTCATGATCTACTGGTACTCCTCTTCCACCTTGGTAATACAGCTGTCCTAGAACAACCTATCAAAATAGTATAACTCTTAAGACAATATTTTTAAATTCAAATAATACTGATATTTTTAATAAACAAAATATATACCTTCAAAATACTTATAGGTAGGGTAGCTAATGTAAAATTGTAGCTAATAACTTATAATTAAACTTATATGCAGTGAAAATAGAAATAATTTGCAACACAATGACCAGTCACAAATTCAAAGTCAACAGGTGTATAACATCCCCTTACAAAACTATTGTCAACCAACAAATTTCCAAGAGGTTTATTTAGTGGAATTTTGCAAGTACAAGAATGCAAAAATAAAGTGATGTGGACATGTTAAACTTGGATCATCACTTATATGAATACATCAACCAAATCAGAAATTGCTATCAAGATTACAAAATCGACTGAAAGGCTTAAATGTGAAAATAGGTTGGTTTCAAGATTATACTAAAGCGCTGTTTTCACCAATTTTTTTTTTCTTAACAAAATTAAAGATATTGTAACACTTGTAATATAAAGCAAACTTTTTATTTCATTCCAAACACATTGTTCCTTCAAAATGACTGAAGTTCAGGATTTGTATTTATTTATTGATTCTTTAAGGATGTTCGCTCCTCTTGTTTTTGAATTTTTGCCAGATATTCGGAATCCTCTGGTTTCATCCATGTAGTGCCATTAAAACATTTTGCCTGCAAACCCCTACTTTTCTTTTCATATTTTTATTACATATAGTTTAAAAAGACATATTTTAAAATCTTATAAAATCCTTGTTATTTTTTCATAGTTTTGAAAGAAAAAAGGTGCCAATGTTAAATGTATGAAAAATCTAGAGAGAATCACTTCCCGCCAAATTTCAATGGCTTATATCTTGAAAACAAGCACACGGACCCTTCATTTTTTTCTGCTTTTTTAGTTCCTTTATTCATATACTATCAATTTATAACAGTCTTTTAAGAAGCTTGTTATTTTGAAACAGAGTAGCGAACATCCTTAAATATTCATGAAACCTGAAGTACCTTGTCTACTTTTGGCTGAAAAATGATAAATTACTAGTGTATTTACATGTGTTTTATCTGCTTAGCTAAACATACCTGAGCCTGAACATCACCTTTGTCTGCTAGAAAGTGATAATACTGTAGTAAATCATCATCCATCAATGCACTTTGACCTGAGTTTTGATTTTCTGCTTCTTCATGTAATCGGATTCTCTGTATGGCAGGACCACTTGAAAATGTAACAGCATCTGCCACTGTAACAAACAAATATATAATTTTTTATAAAATACCACTAACAATTAAATTAAATACTGCATACTGTTTTAAGCTACTGTGTTTCCAATGATCCCTGAAAAGTGTTTCTTTTAAACAAATTACTAAATGAGCATCTTGGTTTTGTTTTATGCTGTTTGTCCTGTTTAATATTTGTTCTCAGCGGAGAGTTTTGTGGTCTGTTGTTTGTCTGTTGTCTTTTTTGTATTAATATCATTGGCAGTCTTAACTTCATTTTGTGGTTTTTGATTACCACTTGGCATCTTCTCCTTCTTTTAAAGAACAAGCAATGAATTGTTCTGTGCCTTTAATTTTTGACACACCTTAAACATCAATCAACTTTGAAAGCATTAAACTGTGATAGTTTTCAAACACAAGTGTTCATTCTCAACAGAAAATTTTAGACCAGGTTTAAATCCACAAAGCATAAAGATATAAATATATATGTATAATAAATTAATAACAAATACATTATCATTCATATCTTTTAAAATCAAATTTTGATATTTCAAGGTGAATGTAGAACATTTTAACAAGAATTTAGTAATCTCTCTATTCATTTAATTAAATTCTTTCTTCTCTGTGATTGTCTTTAAACATTTATGTGTTCATTTCATGATTGTCAGGGGTCAAGAACTAAGTAACAAAGTAACCTTTCAGACAAAATTTCTACATATAGGGTCTTACCAGTTGATGCTGCTTTCTTGTAATAAGTTAATGCAGATTCACACTTGGTCTCTACTCCTATCCCAGACCAATATCTGTAACCCTGAATATCAAATAGAGTTCAATTTATTCCATAACATTCATTTAACAAACATTTTTTTAAAAATTGCTGACAAAAATGTATAATGGTGTCATGGAGAGACATTTTTTGTGTTGAAAAATATTGTATAACTGTGGTAACATCACAGGTGAAAATGTTTATATATAATATTGGTTTTTAGGTGACAAAAATTTTCAAAACAAAAAATTGATCCAGATTGTGATAAAATCATTCATTGCTTCTGTTTCATCTGAGTAAGAGTTAGTATTTCTGAAGTGATATTGTATATTTCATTCAATTTCTTAAAATCTGATGCTTTCTCCAATTTTAGCAGTGATAATAGCTTATAAAGTTCATATTACAAGAATTTTTGGTTAATTTGAATAAATCTATGTTTAGTTGAAATAATATCAGTACATACTAATGTCATCTGTGCCAATGGATCACCTCCAAGTGAAGCAAATGTGTAGAATATCAAACCCTGAAAAATTTAAAGATACTATCATACTCTATAAATAGTTTGAAATATTTAATTTACTGTTATATCAGTGTAAGTTAATACAGAACACAACTAAATGTATCTTTTTAAGAAGATGAGCATATGTAGGTTAGTTACCGGTATGTATAAAAGATGTTTCGGATTTTCAAATATTTGGACCTCAAGCATCACTGAAGAGACATTTATTGTCGAAATGCACATCTGGTGCAGAAAAATTGGCACCGTTAATGTTATGTCATATCCATTAACTGTTGAGTTATATTATACTCAAAAATATGTTACATTTAAAGTCTGTTACCTGATTTCTGAACTAAAATAAAATACATGTAGACTTTCTTCTAGTTAATGAAGCCTTTAAAATATGCCTTAACTGTTTAAAGGTTTTCAATAACATATATACCTTTGCCTGACTGGAGTTGACTGCAATTCCTGCACTACTGAGAAATCCCATACCCTGTAAATCAGATATTCAATTAATTATCTGGTTTTGAAATGTGTGTTTCTTTACACTACCTGGTACATACATTTATTGGTTATTTTGCACTGTCAGACTTCCATATTTCTACTCAGTCATATAGTTTTGCAGGAGGAATAACTTATTTGTGAATGGATTTCATAAAAGTTTCAAAATCTTTAAATTCTTATTACAATTATTAACTGAAAATTAAAATAAAGAACTTATTTTTCTGTCCAATATGGTCCTTCCTGTGTCAATTCCTATATACTAAGTATATTTTTCTAAATGTTGAGTGTTTTATAAAGATGGTATTTTACCATATTGTGGATTCATTATTATTCATCAGGTACTAATTCTCATAAATTTCAAGGGTAAAGGTAACCAATGTATTTCAACAAAAATTCCTATTCACTTGTTTACAGAAATTGTCAAAACTATGAAACAAGGCATCCATGAACATAAGAATCATCCCCCTCTTGACGAAAATCGGTAACAATAAAAATAAATAAATCCACAGTATAAAAAAAATGAATTAAAATAAAGAGGTTTCCATATTCATTCTAGATTTGGTTTCTATTAAAAATCTTTTTTCATTCGTTTATAAAGGAAAAGGTAAATTTTGTACTCTTACCAATTGTCCCCTTGGTGACCCTCTGTTTGACAAATCCACAAATAATTCTTTAGCTTTTTCAATATTCTGTGGCATATAATCTCCAAACAGGTAGGCAAAAGCAATATGTTCTAAAGCTTTTGTATGATTTAGATCAGCAGCCATCTTGAAAAACTGGTGTGCTCTACAATTAGAAATCAGTTTAATAAATTCCATAAAAAAAACTCTACAGCTTAAAAGGACAGATATTTTTACAGCACAAGAAAATGTGACAGAACTAAAAATATGGGTACTGGTATATCAATTATCAGATTACAACATTTGATGAGAAAAAAATTTGTAAAGCAAAAACAAATTCAAACTGAAGTCATACAATATAGCAATAAATGGTATTATTGGATTTCAGGACAGATTGTGGATAATGGTACAACTTTACATATCCAGGCCATTGAAAATTGCATAAAAAAGGAATTGCAAAATTTGATGCCTTTATTCTAATATATAAATGAAAATGAAACACAAAAAGATGCTATAATACCTTTTTATATTATTATAATGTAACAAAAATCCAACACAAATGCAATAATAAAATGTACTTCTGAATAACTCACTGATGGTAGTCTTTCTGGAATGTTTCATTTATAAGAGCCTCTCCTTGCTTGTAGTATTCTTCAGCTGATTATAATTCAAAATCTTTATTTGATATCAACATTATTATTATCATAACATTATGACAAACACTTATAAAGATGTGTATGAATTCAGATGTCATTGTGTCCCAATGCTTAATTAGTTAAATTAACTCATTATTGGTAGTAGCTTGAAAGCTTTCTTTTAGTTGCATCTTTTAAAAAAAAAAACTTTTTTGTTTCCAGGCATTTATATGTCATTTTTCATTTTCATTCAATAACAATCATATTGTAATAAAACATATAAATGACAGTACAAATGATACTTAGTTGTTACGATGACCCTATTGCTTTGTATATATATTACAAGTTAAGCTGGAAGAAATTTAAAAACAATTGCTTTTCACTTGACTATACATGTAGATTAGTTTTGTTTGAAAAAGAGACACCACACACCTAATCACACTCCTCAAAGCCCCCACCAACAACAAAAAAAACATTTGAATGCATTTAGTTTCAATATTTGGCAAAGACATTATAGAGCCTCAATTTCAGTTAAGAACATAACGTACACCAGTGCTTGCATATGCAAAAAGTTTCTACACTTAGTATTCACTTAACTAAACAATACCTTTAAGTTCTTCTGGTGACAAGGGCTTTTCTTCTACTTCTTCTTTTGCTTGCTTTTCTATAAAATGTAATGTCAAATATTAATATAAATTCAGTAGGTTAAAAAGCTAACAATATTGTATACTTGTAATTATCTAAATAATTATGTTACATCATAAAATTAAGAATATTTATAAATAGAGTACATGTAATTTGCAATCACTTTTTAAATATTTAACTGAATGAATGAATGAATATGAATGAATGAATACTTTATTGCAGAACTTTAAGCTGATGATGAAATTTTATATATTTTTTTTTAATAAACAAATTCACATTCTTAATATCTAATCCTTTAACTGGTTTATTTTTGTTTTGTAAATAAGAAGATCAATTGAATTGTATAGAGAAATCAATTAAATAACAACAAAAAAGATATAAATCAACAAATACAAAAAAAACCATAAAGTATACATGGACAAGACACACAACAATAAAGAAAAAAAATTATACAAAACACACAACAATAATAAATAAATATAGAAAAATAACAAAAGCATAGCAAATATACGTCTATTCACCAATATGTTTTGATTTTAGCAGGTACGATTTATATATTAACCAAAACTAACAACCAAAAATATAAGAAGGAACAAGGAATATGTTCAAGTGTATAATAATGATAATGAAAAATAATTCAATATTTTGGAAAGTCTGGATTTTCTTACTATTTCTTCTCATTGTTTCGAGAACTAAGAAATGAATATAAGATCTACAGAGAGAAAGGAGGAGACAACTCTTTTAAACAAGTATTTTGACTCTCTTAACCTTTTTGCTAATTTTTAGGTATTTATACCTACAAGTTGTCAGTCTTAGTCTGATTGATACGAAGTAAACAAAGTCCTTCCTCCCTAAATTCAAAGTTATCCTATGCATATATTTCTGGAAAAAGCTTGGAAGTTAAAATAAAGTTTTCTTAAGGTGTACATGTTAGTTTTACATTCTTATATTATTAACAACACCTTCACAAAACAAAAAAGGAAGAAAAATAGAACCACAAAAGGTAACTTGTTTGAAGAGTATTTTACATGTATATTAAGAAACTTAATAAAATAAAAAAAGTGGCATGTCATTTACATATTATCATAAAAACCATAAATGTGTTTTCCAAAATTCTTTTTTAAAATTTCTGATTTCTTTAAAATCATTTTAGTTACACGTTTTTCTTTTTAAAAAGAACCCTGACCTAAATTTCTATATGTACTATTTGATCACACTAAAGACTTGATTAAGAGATATTTTGTATGTTAAACTTCTTCAAATAAAATGGCTGCAAATTCATTTATCAGTGTTCCTGTAATCACATTTATGGTTTTGTCTTGGTATCTATAACAAAGCTTATCAAATTAATGCTGATTTCTATATAAAATTCCCTTAATGATTATGGGGAAGAAAAATTCCCTTAATGATTATGGGGAAGAAATTAAAATATTTCATTTTAAAATTGTCACCATCTGCATGTATAATTACTTGATCGTGATGGTTATCATCCATTTAACTAAAATGTACATGTAACCGTAAGGCGTATTAAATTTATCCTCTGAATGCATGCATATCCAAAAAAAATAGACATCACAGAAACAAAATACACTTTGTATATTACCCATCATGCATCAAAAGCAAAATGGTAAAATTCAAAACAAAAATCCTCCACTGTAAGTGGTCTTTCCATTTTCCATGAGCAGAATATATTTGGTGTACATTGTACATAGGATTTAAAGACAGCCTCACCTTGCACATATATATCTTCTAACTTCTGATTCTGGGACACTAACTGGGGAGGGGAACCAGGCTGAATGTATTGTTTTACCTCTGTAGTGATCTCCCCTGATGGTTCTATTGTCATCTGATAGACTTGTCCTCTGACTGTTCCTTCTTTATTTGGTCTATAGATAATAGCCTCTCTTTTCTTGTTTCCATTTATACTCCTACTGATCTGATCTACCAAATCCATGTTAAGTCTTTTCTCATTAATAATCTTGGGAAAGTCATCCATTGTATATTTTCTTGGTTGTGTATAAGATTCTGGGTATTTATTTTGGTAAAAAGTCTTTATATACTCTTGCCTCCCTTCCATCAAGTCAAAAACAGGCATATCATAATAAGCAGTCCGCCAATCTACAGGATTCGCTTCAATTTGCTTATCTTTTATACTTTCTTTAGTAGCTTTCCACGTCTTCAACGTCTCTTGTATTTGGGCATATGTTTCTGTAGCCTTCTGTTTGTACGCCTCTTTAACTTTTTTATCAAAATGTTTCAGCTTTTCCTGGTCTACAACAACATTCATATTATCTCTGTGATATTTTTCATCCTTAGTTTTTCCTGTCTCATCTACCTGATCAGTATTTGGTTGTTTTCTCTGATTCAAGGTCTTTAATGCTTCTTTAAACTGTTTTTCAAATATAGGCTTCAGTTGTTCAAAAGCTTGTGGATTTATTTTCTTCAACAGCTGTTCATTGAGGTTTTGCAATTTTTCTTCTTCAGACTCCATAGTCTGACTGCTTTCCTGACTTGTCATTACATTTTCCAAATCTATTTCTTTGCCACTCCACTGTTTTTCATTTTCTATTGTGGACCCATCATCTTTCTGCATCTCCACTTCAACAGATTCTTCTATCTTTAAACGGGAAGACCACTTACCATTCCTGTTTTGTTTTTCCCATCCAGAGGCATCATAACCTTCAGCACTGCCACCATTGTTCTGACCATGGGGTAAGTTACTCTTTCCATCTTTTCCTTTAAATCTTGAAGTCTGATCTCGCCTCACTGAATTGTGTGGTAAGTCATCAGATTTAGTTTGGACATGCTTATTAGAAGTGCTACTAGGATTATAGTTAGAAGTGCTAGATAGATCACCCACAATGTTAGTAGAACTAAAACTACCATGTGCAACAACTTTACCTTCAGTATCTGTACTGTCTTTTGGTTCCCTTTCTGCTTCAGAAGACTCTGTCATGGATTCAATACTATGATCCTTTAACCACTGATCATAATCTTCCTCAGACTCTGTATCTTCCACATTTTTCTTCAGTTCAACACGTTCAACATGAACTTCGACCTCCTCTTCTAAAATTTTTATCTGATCATCTGTGACTTTGTTTGCATCGTTATCTTGCTGTGCCAACTTCTCGTTATTAGCCTGATTCAAGTTTTCTACTGGTTTTGAACCATCTCCTGATCCTGATCCTTTAATTTTGCTATCTGTATGATCATTTGTTCCAACTGCACTAGCAGGAAAGCCTTCTCCCTTTTCAGAAGAAGGCCCAGGTTTAGAATTTGGACCAGTGTCTTCTTTATCATTTTTATGAGATTCACCTAGTTGATCCTTATTAACATTAACATTAACAGTGTCCTTATTTAATTCATTTTGATTTGTTTCTTTAACAAGATCATTGTTAACATAATTATCAATCTTTTCAGACTTAGATTCTATGTTTTCTACATCTTTAATACCTTGGCTTTCTTTACTATTATCTTTAACATTAAGTTTCTTATCATTCTCAGTCTTTTGATTTACCTTTCCATCTGAGAACTCATTCTGAAATAATTGTTCATTAGATTTAACAGCTTGTGAATTATCATCAGGTTGTTTACCTTGTGTATTTACAGTATTATCAGTATTGGTGTTAACCACTTGTGAATTATCATCAGGTTTTTTACCTTGTGTATTTACAGTATTATCAATATTGGTGTTAATCACTTGTTCTGATTTTAAGTCTTCCTCTTGTGCCTGCGGAATTTCTGTGGTTACTTTTTCTGATTTAACATCTTCTTTTGAAGTCTGTTGATTTTCACCATAAGTTAATGAAACACATAAACAAACCAATAAAAATATTTCCAATGGGAAGATGATGCTGGTGTTGGTTTTACAACCAGCTTTCTTCATTTTTGTTTTATCAAGATATTGGTAAGAACCTTAAAACCTAAAAAAGAAAAAGAAAAACAAGATTTAGTTATACAATGTATCATACATGAACAAGTAGCTTAAGTGCATTTAAGATCTTTTTAGAATCTTACCTTCTTCTAAATATCTGGTAGCATTTAACATGTTTAAGAACGGCAATGAATGAATGAATAGAATCAACTATCATGACTATCCATACACTTTTTTGGATAATGATAAACATGATGGTCAACAAGTTTTGACAGCAGTAGTATTTTGTCATCAGTTGAAACAAGAAATGCTAGCTGAACCAGCCTGATTCACGAGGATCTTGCCACCCTAATTCAGATTAAATGACAATCAGAAAGACAGAAACTATAAGTGTCCAAATTAAACAGCAAGTTTTGCATTCAAATGCTCCAAATCAAGAACTTGTCATTGAAAGTCTTATGTCTTATACATGTATTGTATATTGATGGTTATTATTATGTGTTGCTGGCTAATCTTTCTGTTCTGTTTTGTTTATTTATTACAGTTTATAAACTTAAAGAGCTTGAAATATTGAAACATTGAAAATACATGTTTATTGCTGAAGACTGTATGTTGCCCCTCTACCTATTTCATGTCTTTGTTATTTTTGTCATTGGATTTATATCTTCTGACTCTACATCATTTTTATTCATTGTGTTTTGTGTTTTTAAATTTTTCAATGTCTATGTTGTTTCTATCAATAACAGACTAACAGCAGTGTTCCAGCTTGAATCTCAGGTGCTTGTTGACCCAAAGGGCACTTTAGCACAATCATGCAGATTTGTAGGCCACTGTTGCCTGAAGGGCGATGGAAAGGGCACCAAAGGCGGGATGCCATTCTATTTTGGACAGACAGGAACACTGAACAGTCTTCATCTGCAGAGATGAATTTGGTGTTGATGACATTTGGCCTAAGTAAACAATTTTAAGCATTTTGCCGTTCTAAGAACTCATTTCAAGACCACTTAATTTTATTGTTTAACATAACTGTTTTAACTCCATGCTTATAATACAAACCTCTTCAAGAGTGTGAGTCCTGATGACTTAAAACATAACGTTTTGGGAAAATGCACGAATGTATATGTATATGTATATGATCCAATCTAAATAAATGAAGAATTGTCCATGGAACACAGATGATGCTCCCGCTTCCAAAAAATATTATAACAGGACATACCTCAAGAATGGTAAAAGTGACACCACCCAAATTTGACCTTGATCAGGGTTTTGTGGTAATAAGCATTGTGTATAAGTTCCATACCATTTTGTTGAGGCAAACTTATGTTAGAGAATGGAAACAAAAAATTCAGCAATTTTTCAATACGTAAAGGGGCATAACTCTAGAACGGTAAAATTGACACCAACCAAATTCAAATAAACTTGAACTGTGTTTTGTGGTATAAGCATTATGTACAAGTTTCATAAAATTTAATTGAGACAAACAAGTTAGAGAATGGAATCCAATTTCGTGACTTACGTACAGACGGACACGTGTAACACTTAATGCCCCCTCCGCTGTGGTGGTGGCATAAAAAACTGGACTGGGCAATGCTGTCAATACGGATCTCACTAATTAGCGACAAGAAGCGTCAAGAAGAATAATTTAGCAACAAGAAAATAAATTTATCCTCAAGATATCTTAATAATGATTATTTGAAATTTATAGATATAGAAACATGAATTATAATGTGTGTGGTTATGTTTTAAATATACAAGAATTTTCATTATTTCATGATACTGAGCAAAGAAAATAAACATTTGTTCATTTGTTCTAGAAAGAGTTTTTTTTGTAATCAAGGATAATGTGTTTTTTAGTTTACAGTTTAGTGTATAAATGAATAAATCGATAATATGTAGTACTGTAGAGTCAGCATAGTTGATATAACAAAGGTTCAAACCAAATTATAATCTAATCTAATCTTTATCTTAATATTTCACTAAAAAGGTCCATATATATATATATATAGGATGGAACATGGGATCCTTACAAAATATTCAGATTAATATATACTTTAAAATAATACTCAAAATTGGCAACAACACTTCAAATGGTCTGCAATTTTATTTGCTATGGTCTACATGTTTCGCCTGCAGGGCAGGCGTCATCAGGACAATTTTCATACAGAAATTAATTACTGAAGTACTCAAAGTGGTACATTGAATTTGACGTTGTCAAGGTGAGAGAAACAATGAAAAGTGAAAGTAGTAATAAAGAGTTATAAATAGATAAGATAAATACAGAAAAATAAAGTTTGTTTACAATGTAAATTGAGTTCGTTTTACTTTTATATGATGCAAGACATTGTTCTAAAGGCTTGGTATCTAAATGGACGATCTTCCATGGTTCCTACCACTTCGCAAGGCTTCTCTTCCAACCTGGCCATTGTTGGATGATACTACTTCCTGGCGCGTCGGCAACAATGGGAAGATTTTGGTCGCCACTAATGGAAAATAAAATTGTCAAAAATTGTTCCCTTGTTAATTATTTGGTATATATATAATTTTTTGATCGTCTGCTGTGGTTGGTCTGTTTATCAGCATGGTTGTAAATTTACAGTTCATTTATGTTTAGCACCCGCGTGGTGTGTGGTACGTTTCTTCTGCTATCATTTATAGATGTACATGTATGTAAAGTGGTATCCGAAATCTTGGTAAACTTGGTTCAGTTGTTGTTTTGTCGCATGTATGGAATATTCCTTGGTCCATGTATACGCTGGTGGCCTGTAGATCGGCGCTTGTAGCAAGGCGGTTCCTTTCGGATGCAGGGGGTTTAAAATAATGTAATAAAATATTTTTTACTAAAAATTCATTACAAGACTATATATATATACTGTACATAGTGCTACATTTTCGTACTAAATTGAACAAAATTTGAAACTTTATAAAACACCAAATAATCCACTGTAATTAATTGACATTTTCTATAAATTTATTGTTTTAAAAGTATATAAACTTTCTTGTCGCTAAATTTGTCTTCTAGTGAGCCAATTTTTTCTTCTTGTCGCTAATTAGTGAGACCGGTCAATACTCATAAAATCCTGGGTCCCCATCCTTAGGGAGTACTTTTCATTCCAGTTTTTAATGAGGTTCAAGGTAGTCCGAGATTGCTCTGACGTCCAACAGTCAGAGCAATCTCGGACTAGGTTCAAGGATGCTCAATTTTTAGTTTTCTGAGCAACGATTTGTTGTTTGATTCCTTTTCCATTTTTTTTTCTAGCTATGGTGTTCTCAGGTTTTCTTTGATTTTTGGTTTTTATTGCACCTCAGTATCTTCTGTGGCCTGATCCTGATCCTAAGGTCAATATATATGTTGACACAACTAGTCTCTTTATGTTTGCTTGTTTCATCTTAGTACTATAGTTTCTCCGAGTAATGTCACACTGTACATGTACTTAGGTTAATTTGTTTAGGCGTAGGATCGGGATTCTTCAGGGCTACATGTGAGTGTATCTTAAAATCGCCTTGAACTCTTTAAATATTCTCTCATTATATCCGCTGTTCTCTCGTATTTCTCTTTCCTTGCTGGTGCCAGTAGGGTCTGAAGATCTATTGGGATGTATTGTATCTCCAGCTGTCTTTTCATTTCTTCTCTTTCCTGATGGTATCTCATACAATTAAGTAGGAAGTGTTCTGTGCTTTCTTCTTCACCACAATGACATTCGCAGTATGGTGTGAGGGATTGGCCTATCTGATGGTGGTATTTATTTAGTCTATTGTAGCCTGTTCTAAATTCTGACATGATTCTCCCTATAATTGGATTTGGATAATCAAGTAGATTGGCCTTAATTACCAACAATAGTAACAAATTCGTGTAGTTGTCTTCCAGTGTCACTTCTAGTCCATCTATTTTGCCATTTTAGTTTTTTTGACATCTTAACTGCACTTCACTTCTCACATCTGACATTGTTATAACGTTGTACTGGTCATTTAGACTTGAGGCCTCCTGCGCTGCATCTTTTGCTAACTAAACTAGTCCACTATC